GATCGCCCGTTAAAAAAGTCATTAACGAACAGAACTTTCGACGAAGTGGATGGCTTGATGACCAACGTCAAGGCGTGATCGCCTCCAAGAATCGAAACTTCTTCGCCTGTGGAATCCAACCGCCCAGCAAATGGGAAGTAGCGCTTGACGTAGATGGTGGATATGTTCCGGAGCAATTATTTGAACATGTCTTTGCTAAATATTTCTATCGTTTCTTCAAGTAAAATTTGCTGAGAAAAATCCGCAACAGTTATGCATCAACCTAATAATAACTAATTCCAAGGACTACCTCTAAGATGAAGTCACCAGAGTGGCACTTCGAAGTACACTTCTTTGCATTTCCGGTGAAGCCTCATAAGCTCTGCTTCGACAAGATTAAAAAAAAAACAAACAAAACACACGAGGGGAAGACTTCTCGAATAGCTCCCACCACTTTTAGCTACTGCTGATTTTCCATATTTCTTCTATGCTTCCGAATGTTTGCCTTCTTTAGTCTGTTTATTCTTTCAACAAGATGTAGTGGGTGTGCTATCGGTTTCTTTTTAGCATTTTGGTTCAGATTTTGTTGGATTTATTTACACCCTTGGTCTCTAGGTATATAAATAAAAAAAAACGAAGTCATTATTAAGGCATAGCCAGAGAATAAAGTTAAATGATAGGTAATCAAAGGAGAGTTCTCACCGTAGTTAGTCCTCGAAGAAGTATGGTAAAGATGAGATTGAAGAATGTCACGATCAAATACCAAACACTTCGTTGAAGTGGCGTCTGCTCACGGATTCTTCTCAATTCACATGATAGTACTGAAGACTGAGTGCTCAGTGAGAAACCACCGGATATCAGCCAAACCATTGCAGGCATCCACTAAAAAATCCAATTCAGTTAAAATATATGAAAAGAAAATAGGCAAGCCAATCAACGTAGGACTGTTTTGAGCAGTAAGACCAAGAAAATTGATTTCACCTCATTTTCAATTCCCCACCCTCTAAACTCAATACGCTTTAGTGGATTTAATGAAAGTTCCAGAGGGCGTCAGGGATCTCCCTCGCTGTTCATTTGGAATATATGGATATTGTGTAAGTAAAGTTTGAAAGTATAGAGCCTTTGGGGTTACTCGATCTAACTTCTGGGATGCACCCCGTCTTCGACTTTTATTTAAAATCGTAGAGACGAATTGAATGCGCTGTGGCTTAGACAATGACTTGCGGGGGCCAACAGAACTACGCCCCGACTACTCTTTTCAAATTTGACTTGTTTGAGAGTACTTAAGCTCCCATCGATACTCGCACAGGCCACCCCATGCGTACTAGACTTTCTGGGGAGGGAAACAAGGCTTGGTTGGCCTAAGCGAGTATCTATGGGAGCTTCAATCCGTATTGTATTATGTGTGTATGATGGTCTCCAAATGGTACAGCTCATGCTGAACTCGACCACANCTATGGGAGCTTCAATCCTTGTATTATGTGTGTGATGGTACACCACTTGCCACGACACAAGCCTTTCGCGAATGAAGGATAAAGGGTAAAGTTTTCGGCATTAATCAATCCTGTCTAAGGGATGTAACCCCACACTCGACTTCCATTCAGAATCGTAGTGGCGTAATGAGTGCGTATGTGGCCTATACAATGACTTGCGGTGGCGAGCCGATGTACAAGTCAGTGCTTTAATCCTCCCAGACAAGTCTGGTACCAATTCACCGACCCTGGAGGGATGGAAGGCTTGGTGGGCCTAGGCGGGCATCGATCTGGGATTCGTCTTTCGCGAATACATGCAAATAAATGATGGACTTATGGTCTGACTGATTAATAACTGTCATAATTATGTAATTACATGAATATAAGTATATGAAAGTGAATATTGTGATTATTCAAATATTACTCGATATAAATATATGCAAGTATGGTGTTAATATATTGAATGATTGCAGAGTTTCCTACAGGATTTCTGAGCATTCAAAATTGATATGCGAGAAAAAATCATAAAAGTCTATTGAGTGATTAATTCTGTCTTACAAGGACCAGACATTTCGAAATCTTAGCTTAACCGTCGTTAATGTGAATAAATACAAAATGTCTTGAAAACTTACGAATATCATACAAAGGCGCATCATTCCCGATGGGAAATGAAACGTCTCGTAGCCACGAACTTTTTCAGTTGCAATCGAACGTTCGATAACAACAATAAGAGGGAATACGATAAATAGTACACAAAAGCATGTGGGTACAACATCCACAAATAGACAGGTGGACAAGTCGTCTGGTTCCTGAAGCACATACAAATATTTTCATTAGTCCATTCTGGAAATGTTTGTGGAAAACCAATCGGTCAGGCCATCGCTCGCCTCATTCCTCCGCAACATTTTTGTTCTTTTTGTATCCAGCAAGTTTTTCTCAGAGATTCGAATCAAAAACACCCTGTTCGAAGGCAAAGTTTACAATAAAAAGTGTCTCTGGGTTCCTTCTCTAGAATGAATATGTGACCCCTAAGACTAGCACAAGGGACGTTGGTCAAAAAACGGTCCAGTTAAATTTAATATGGGCCCCGATGCCGGCTCCACTGAAGTGCACCCCCAAAAGTGGCCATGTTATAATGGCTTTGTTAAGGCTGCATCATTCACAGTGAAGAGTCAGGACACCGAGGAATAGTATGCTTAGATGGAGCACCCAGGCAATTGCAGACACACAATCTCGTACAATCCCATTTTTTCAGTTTTTGAAGCCCTATGTTTTTTGGAATCCTCCAGTTTTCTAGAATTTTTTCGCCATTTTTACACTCTTCTGTTCAACAACCTACATAAGTGCCCTCAAACTATATGCTTCAGGCGAACTGCCCTTCAACTCTGGACAAGAGAATTCATAAGTTTTTCAAAGCAGTCGGTGGAATGTGATGTGATCAGGTGGAACGTACTTTGGAGTAGTCGTTCTTTGTTACCGTCATCGATGTTTGTGTTCTATTCTAGTTATCTGATAAGCTATATGCTATTCCAGGTAACTCGTCCTTTCTCGTTTTTTCGTTATAGTTACAAGGACATTAGCAGGCTAGAGAAAGTGTTTACGTGATTTCACAATTCAGCAGAAAAAAAAAAATCGAATTTTCTCATAGCTTTGCAAATGAAAATAGGCGCTGTCGGAACTGTAGGTTTCGCTGGAATATCGGTAACAGCTCTGTCAAAGAGGACATTTCACCCGTTCGCGACAAATTTCATCGCACGCGATCATTTTCAAATTACCGCAACTATTTGGTTCACATCTACCTATAAAATCGTCTGTGAAACACATGCATGAAACAGCTCCTTTGAAGAAGCTTGAGCGGTAGCAACCAAAGGAGTTATGATCGATTTATACTCATTACGAATTGCTCTAATCGTTACCCACTACCGTAATTTTCCCACCCATAGGAATCGGGTAGGAGCAATGGCCGTAGCAGGTTTCTCCTAATACGGGTTCATTCAAAAAAAGAATCATCTCAGACTTGGCTTCTTGAAGAGCTGAGTGACTTCTGTGGCTTCTGATTAATTACTTAATTACTAATTATTTACAATCAGCAATTTAGGATTTGGTAGTTGCAATTTCGATTTTTATCTCTGCCAGCAGGTTCCAAACCGGTTCGGAATTCGCTCTTCGTGCACAGAACTCAGTTCCTTAGCCCTATAGGTCCTCTAAGCCCCCCAAGTAATAACAAAAATTTGTAAATGCAGCTGTTTTTCACTCACCGTAACTAGCGGATTACCAAAGATTTGATAAAGACTGACGAGGGTCCTTATCAATGAGTATACGGTAACCAGCGTGACTGCTGATGTAATATGTAAGCATATGATTCGGAGATGAATATGAAATACCGAATACCGTAATAGTACACAAAGAAATAGTATATTTAACAGAAATGCTCCCAATAGTAGGAATAACTCGATGATATTTAGTAAGAGTATAGACGAGAATCCTTGTTGTAGTGATATCCTTTCGATGGTCACATAATCGTTCTCCATCTGAAATTAATTACAGACTTCAGCAGTATTTTGACTTTGCAACTTTACACGAGCGTTCACATCGAAAGGATAGGATGAAGAAAAAAGGAAAAATAAGGAAAAGAGAATAAGGAGAGGGTGAATGAACTAAACAGCGTACTGTGTAAGAACGAGAATAATATTTGGAAGAAATTCAAATGAAAATGACTGCCGAATTCAAAGGAAAGGGGTCGTTTAACCCTCAAAATACTAGAGAAAAATGAAAATCAAATCCTGTCTAAGAGTGGAATAAAATGACAATATCCATCAGAATAAAGCAACTAAATGGAAAATAAACCAAAGCAGACACCTAAAAAATAAAAAAGAGTATATGCAAATATGATATAAAATATGAACAGGTATAAGATGTAAACCCATAAAATTTATAAACAAAAAAAGGTTTATAAAAAAAGTAGAGCAGCATCCACAGCATTCAAAGCGATGAATGTGTTATACGCCTAGTCCAACCCAAAGTGCATGAAGGTGTCCTTGAAAAAAAAGTCAGATTCTGACCGAATGATGGATTTAATGGAAGAAATTTGGGACAGAATGTTGTCTTCCTATTAACATCCTGTATTTCCTCCTTTGATAGTTCTCAATTATCGAGATGCTCCTCTAAAGAGCAAAAATTTTCAGCAAAAACGGCGAAAAACTGGGTGCCTATGGAAACATGTATCGGGTTGGCAACTAGTATTTAGATTTTTTGAATATGACTACTTTTTTATTTCACTTTTTACAGGAAAAGAAAAAATATTCCCAAAGTAGATGTTCAGACCACTCAGGAGATTACGCAGTTACTTAGATGCCGACCTGATAGCAAACTGCTTTTCAATTTTGAAAAGGTTTCATTTACACTGTTAAGATATCATGGAACTCGGCAAGTCCAAGTTGGCAGAATGTCAAAAAAAGGACTGTGAGGAAAGCCAAGTATTCCTCATATTTCTTGAGGCTGGCAATGAAAGCTCACGAAACTTTTGGAAGCATTCGCTAAAAAGCGTTCGAACATTTTCATGACCATTATATAGTTGCTAGCACATATGCTACACAGATGTCATTCCTGCAACCAGGCATACAGACGAAATAAAAGAAACTGATAGAAAAATTCAAAATGAAATGGTTCTTCAAAAAGGGTTCTTGTTAACAGAGGCGTCAAAATGTATGTACGCGAATGATGGACAAATGCAATTATGAGAAATGAAAGCTGCAGCTGATCTGTAGCTGTTTTTCAATTATGTTTGTTAGGGGAGGGGACGTTCGAATTATAGCCATTTCCTATGTAGTTGTTATTCTGGTCGTTATTCTGGGAATAGACAGGGATCCATTTGACGATAGCAAAAATAATGACGTAAGAAATAATAAACTATTTCTAATTTGTAGCTAGTAGGAATTTTATTGCCGGCTTCCACCCCTTTTATAACAAGGCGTGTTTTTTCGCGGTAGCCGTAGATGATCAACACTAAAAACCAAAGGAAAACAATAAGGTCATTTCAATAAAAATTCAAAGTTACCAGCGCCCAGTGAGCCATTGTCTTTTCATTTCGAGAGAAGTTTTGATATGTCAGGGAATCACCTTGCAAATAATTGGACGAGGTGGACGGAATGAGTGGACGTCGCAAGGGGTTTTCAGGACCCCTAGGAGCTATACCGGGAAACGTAGGATGATGCAGCACCATGGGCATGATACTGGGATCGTGTGCCGTCAGATTACCGACTCGAAGCTACCAAAGATTTCATTTTTCTGTTAATTTAAACCGAGTCTGTAAGGAGATAAAAGCACTCGGCTTGGAACAGCTGGTCTGGCAAGTCATCGTAATAGTCGAATAAATAATCTTAAAAGTCCTAATAATCCTGTACCCATTAGCTAAACGGTGGGCATCTAAAGAACAGAATTACTCAGCGGGAAAAACGTCTACAAATGAGCACCTTAAGAAGCTTCCTCCTCATTAGACTCAGGCTACTGTGATTTTCCTCTTCGACCTTTTTCGTGTTGTGTTCGTGTTCAGTTGATTACCCGTTTTTGGGGTGGAATGTAAGCCACACCAAACAGGACTTATATTCATAAAGAATGATTATTAAACTCGATTAGAAGTGGGTCAGAATGGTAATGCAAGGGCAAGAGGAAACCTCAGTGAAAAATAATTTCAAAAAACCCAAAGTTTTCGCTGAGAAGCCTATAGAGCATGTTTTTTCACATGTTCGAGACAACTCTTTTTTCTTCAAAGAATTGTGGATGGGAGCGGTTTCCGGAGAAGGACATCCGCAAGTCCTGCAGTGCAACATTTATACTCAGTAATTGTAGGGCTTGGTAAGGCCGAACATTTTAGAAAAATGTCATTTGCAACGTCGACATTTGAATGCTGAATGTTTACAGATTGGTATTGGAAGTTCAATTGCCCACCCAAAGAACTTGCTATTGAAACTTGGAACTTTATCATGTTCAAATCTACTATTCTAGAATTCCGACGTCAGTCGTGTGCTGCCACATGGCGCAGTCTCGCACCCATGGCATCTCAGAATGGGATCGACAACCACCAAAAGTTCTTTCCCCTCATGCTAGGCTTCAAATAGCATCCAATCTCGATATGTTGGCCATTCAGGAGTTTATAATGGGAACAACTCAGTTATCTTGACATATTGACAAAACAACGGTTACAAACCAAATTATTAAAATACAATTTCACTGGGCTGTCACTGCCTGAGAAGCCAAAGGCAATAAGTTGGGTATTTGAGGTGGTAAATGGTGCAAGATCTATATAGGACGTTCTTCCAACGTTACCTCCCTGCGACTGGAAATGCAGTTTACTGTAAGAATAACCAACCAGTGGTGAGATTAAAAGTCAGCAAAACGATGTTGTAGCGAGAGCGGCCGATAAGCTCAGTGACGTAAACGGCCGCCATGTGAAAATGTAATGAGATTACGGGAACTTTTTATAGCCCAGTTCACTGGCGCTGTGGTAATCTGGTCTCTATGGGGTAGTAGAGTACCTCAATGAATTTACTGATGGAATTACCCTATGTACGACTTATGACCTGGTTACAAGAAGTATACGTTAGCGACCACCTCGACATAATCCACTCTTACCTTCTGAAGACCAGGGAAGGTAGCGGTAATAGTCATTGCTCAATTTCTGGCACCGGAATCCGTTTCTGCATTGATTTCGCTTTTTATTCTCAAGTTCTTGGCTTGAGCAGAAGCAGAAATGAACAAAGCTCCTGACGTTGATCAGTCCTGTTCTTGGAATTGGCCCCCTACCTACGGCTTCCATTCAAGGCCGCAGTGGAGGATGCAGTGGAGGAAACATGAATTCGGGTGTAGCCTACAATGACTAGCCGTAGCTAGCCGAGGTACAAGTCAGTAATTTCATCTCCCAAACGAGTCTGGTATCTATCAACCGACTGCGGCGAGATAGAAAGCTTGGTTGGCCCGAGCATAGAGCCGGGACTCGGTCCCAGAACCATGTGATGTGATGTGTTCACCACTTGCCATGACCCCACTTCCGTGACAGAAATGTGGCACTAAATATTGCAAATGCTCAGTTTTGTACGGAGATTTATGCAAGTCCGTTTCAGGATGGCAGAATGAACACGCCCGTGTGCACATTGATCGCCCAGGTGAGCCAGGCCGTGCAGAAACTTCCACAATATCAATAGAATATGGATTCATGGCGCATCCCAATTACCTGATCTCGGATTTGAAAATGGGAAGCAAGAGAAGTGTAAATAGGAAGCTGTAAGCAAAATGAGCGAACAATCCACGAGAGAAAAAATCGGCCCTGCAGAACCAGTAATGAGAACATGTATGCAACGATGGGAGGAGTCGAAATTCATGATCAATGATCTTCAACATATGGAAATCACAACAAAACGTTGGGTTCCTCGGTGAAAAGATAGTCATCGGAGAGAACTACTCTCAAAAGGCATGCAGTGCTTCACGAATGATCGATTACCTCTGGAAACCAGTAACGACGGTTAGTTTAAAGTTGATGTAAGGCGAGATTAATTTCATTCCGATACCGGTAGTTTGGAACAGCAGTCAATAAAAAAGAAAGGAAACTACTACAGAGTTCCAAAGATTGTATCCCCCTTCCAACGGGCAAGCAATAGGGAGAGTTGGGGATTTTTTCCGGGGAAGAGCTGGAACTAATCAGCTCTCGGCACACGATTTTAGATCAGCAAGTCTGAAAAAGTTGACAGATGTTGACTTTTTTTGGGGTACGATGAAGGCGGCTACACTAAAAGAGAAAGTCGGCTCCAGAGAAAGGTTCTTAACTTTTCAAAGTGTTCTTGAACTTGTGGTTGATTTGATTTGGCATCTAGCCAAGTAGGGTTGGAGTAATAGCTTCTGTTACGTAGTAAATCAACTTATATCTTTACGATTGTTCTTTGAAAACTCAAATAATGGAAAGTAATGAGCTTCAGAGATAATTCTTGTACGGAGCGCTCTTCTATCCACCTACTCTCCCATCCACTAACCTCTTTCACGCCTTCCCTCTCACTTCACTCACTCCCTCCCTCCCTCCACCCTTCCCTACCTATTACCCACACAGTGGATCGAAATCAGGGGAGAACTAATCGTAATTGAAAAAGGAAAAAAAGAAGTAAACACTAGCTCTAGTACGAATGCGCCACAAACTCGTCATCAAAACGGATGCAGTAGTGCAACCGATCGAATCTGCCTCCTTCAACCACACCGTTCCAGTGTTGGGATGATTTTGAAGGACTCCCTTCGAGAGAATATTCTCAGGTAGCCAAGGTAGCCCATATAAGAATTACATATTGAATACAATCTTAGAAAAAGTTGTACTAAACTTAATTGAGTTTGACGTGGCAGAAGGGATACTCGGGAAAGCCGATTATACTCAGAATCGCTTTTTGCTCACTCAAAAGTTATATTCTTATGCGAATTGTACAAAAGGGCAAATTACTAGTCCAAGTAATGATTTAATTGTTACCTAGTCAACCTTGTTTAGTTGTGATTAATT